CTCTTGCATAACGCATAACGCATAGTGCATAAGCGAATCAACTAATCAGAATCTTTCCTTTCCTCCCATTCCATGGAAAAGAAGAATTTCGATTGGTCGATTCCCTTATGCACTATGCATTATGCGTTATGCAAGAGTCTGTGCTGCGGCCATTAGATTTAAGTTAGGGTTGGGTTAGGTTAGTCGCATCTGTCGACCGCATGGCGCATGGCTTGTTTTACGTTCATCTAGTTTACCGTGGCTTATCGAGTAGAGCAGTGTTTTGGACGATATGATCGCGGATGCATCGATGAGATAAATTTAAAAGTGACTCTTGTATCCGCTACAAAATGGATAGCGATAATGCGAAGAAACTGAAGCGTAAACGAAAATTGAACGAAAAGGAAAAGGCCGACGGTCAGTTGCCAGCGATTCTGAGATAGATTTGTTTGTTTTTCTTAGCCTTGTTTTTCACCCTTGTCGTTTACATACCTGCGAATTATTGGATTCATTACTGTAGCATTGATCTTGTTAAAAATATTTCATTATTAGCATAGACTCTTGTATATCTGTATATGTATATAATAAATCAAAATAGTATTATCTCTTCTAAAAAGAATAAAAAATTTTATACTATTTATTATTAAAAATTGTCTTATTAGTAAAAAGAAAAGTTTAGCATAGAAATGAATATTAAAATTATGATGAATATTACGATGAATAAAAATGAAAAGGTTCTAAAGAGATCTGATTAAGAATAAACATTAAAAAAAAAAAACAAATGTGAGGTTTTAGTTATAGTTATATTTAAGAGGCTCTTTCTTTTTTTCTCGTTTTAAATTTTTTAAAGGAATATATTCCAAATTAATTCATAAAATACATGTCTATGTACTTACACATATATATTAAGCAATATTATGTAATAAATGTTTTTACAGTTCCCAAGAACAATAATCACAAAACTGACAAGACATCTCAAGAGAATATTGTACAAAGCAATCAAAAGAAGAAAAAAAGAAAATTGAAGTCGAATGAAGCCAGGTATAAAGATCGGAAATTTCTTCTTTCTGATATAAACGAAATTATTTTTTAAGTTAAAATTTGATATAGAACACTTCAATAGCAACTATATTAAGTCACATATTAAATAAATTACTAAATCAAATTGTATTAAAATATTAATCATATTAAAAAATTACAAAATGAAAATTATAATATTAAAGATTTTTATATTTAAAAATTTATTGATAAATAATTAAATAAAGATTTACTTAAACAATTTTTTTTAGTAATGATGCCACTACCGATATTGAGACTTCAAAATCAGTATTATCTTCAAAGGAAGCTTCAGACGAGAATGTAAAGACTGCTAAGAGTCCATCTAAAAGACAATTAAAAAAAGAAAAGGCTGCCCAGACAGCTGTTAAAAAGATGGAATCTCGTAGATCACAAGCCATGCAAAAAGCATTAAACTATGTATCCCTGGTAAGTTGTTAATTGTTTGAATCATTCGTTAATATTTAAAGACTTGATTTTGGAATGTCTTATATAAAGTCTTATACAGTATACAAATGTTTTCTTCTGCGTAACCATTTTTAAGCATTTTGGCAATTTATTGATATTTATAAAAAGAACAGGATTAATAGGAGATGAACACGTACTGTTAATTCTATTACAGAATTTTATCTATCTTTTCATTTTATTTATGATTTGATGGAGATAATTAATTAATTGTTCGATTAACATTTCTCAAATTGATAAAATTATTTTTACAGTGGAAACATTCTAGGAACGAATGGAGGTTTGAGAAACTTAAGCAAATCTGGTTGATGGATAATTTGTTGGATGAAAATTCCATCTCTGACAATCTTTTTCCTATCGTTCTGGAATATTTCGAAGGTTGTAAAGGCATGGCACGTGAAGTGTTATTACGTAAGGGAATGGAAATTATAAGGAAAGCTGAGGCAGAGACAGACGAAGATAACAAAAATGAAATTATGATGTCAACTACTTATAAGAGAGCGAGACAACTTTTACAGACTTTACCAACCGACAAGTAGTTTCAATTTAAAAAAATTTTAAGATAAAACATAAAAAATTGTTAAAAAGAGCAATTTTTAACACGTCAGATCAGAGAAATGGCGAAAAACAACTTAAACTTTTAACTATTTTTAAGAAGAAACTTTTACAAAAGTTACATACATTTTTTATTGTAATATTATAGCTCAATTATATTAGAGCTATGAAAAATTTCAAACATTTTATTTGAGATTAAAATGAATTATATTTAACTTACATAATAATTATAAAGATTACGTTAATAAAAAATATTAAATATTTAATTATATTTAAATAAATATATTTGTATATATTTTTTAATGACATATCATGATGAATAAATAAGAAATACAGATATCTACTTACTTATTTTGTTACAAAAAAAGCAAGGCTTTTTGTCGTTTAAAATGTCTGAAATTTTCCAGCCTCCATAAAGTTAATACCTTTTATATAACAACATTATATACAATTTAAAATGATTTTTATTTCATAATTTAAACTCGTTACAAATAAAGAAGTTTATATTTTAAGAAAGTGCTATCTTCGGTATTTCATTGATAACATTTTATTTAATCTGCATTGTTGAGAAAAATCTAAACTTGTTTTGCACAATATTATACATTTATATATAATAGCTAAGAAAAATGTACTATAAACATAATTGCAGATTTCAAAGCATCATGTAAAAATTCTCTATACAAAGATTAACAAGAACTGTAACATTAGAGATAATTTACATAATAATTTTTAGTTACGTTACTCCGCATATTTGTTAACAAATTGTCTGAGTTTGTCAGTATCTTGAAGACCGACTATTCTCTCTAGAACCTTTCCATCTTTCATAACAATGAGGACGGGCACCGATCCAACCTGAAATTAGTGCACGATGAAATATGTGATCCAAATATCCAAGTCCAAAATTAATCATAAAAAATTACGCTCATACAATTGTTTAATTATAATCCTGAACTTTCACTTGGAAAATTCTCAAGTTTAAAGTAGTTACAACAAATCTGTCATCAATTTATGATTAAAAAAAAAAACCTATTCTTTTTGTTAACTGAACTTCTTGCACCATTCATTTTTTCTCTTTTTTTTTCCTTCAACGTGGAGAGAAAAAAAGAAACATGAATCATGCAAGATGCTCAACTGAAACGAATAGACTTAATGCTTAATGATTGCTATACTAAAACTGTAAAAGAGGATACGTACATGATAATCAAGAGCGAGGTCTGTATGCTCATCAATATCAACTTTGGCTAACAATATCTTTCCCTGTTTTTCGGCAACAACAGTTTCTATTCTTGGGGTCAGCATGCGACATGGATTACACCATCTGAAATAATTACAGAAAAGATATTTGCTGAAATCTTGTAGAGAATACCTAGGTATTTCTGTTCAAAATTCCAAGATTAGAAAATTTGTTAATACAACTTTAAAATAAAGGAGTGCAATTGAAGTACAAGCAATGTAAATAAAATATAAATTGAAAATTAGTAGAAGACTGAGATTTTATAATAGATATGTACAGTCTTGACTGTATCTATCATTTTCTACAATTGGAGCCACGAAATCTATTAAGAGTATAGGAAAGGCTTTCTATATAATGCAGTATCACTGAACTATACTTTATTCTGCTGTGAGTACTGTCTTCTACTGTCAGCTTGATTTATTTAATAAAAATTTACGAGACAGTTCTACTGAAATATAGAATTACAGTTCCACATGATGCTTACGTGGCAAAGAAGTCCACGATAACGGGCACTTTAGAATTCATCACGCGCTCATGGAAATCTTTGTGATCCTGGACTTTGAAGGCAGCAGATACCACTTGCTCCTGCGCAGGTGCTGTGGTATACAATCTACTGCTCAAAAGGGTTCTACTAGTACGGACAGCCTGAACTCCTAAGCGCTGCATCTTTCAGCTCCTCAGTTGTTTGCTGCTCAAATAAAACATGCAAAATTATTAAATTATACATCAAAATAGAGTTATATTCCTCTTTCTGTTTCTCTCTCTCCCAAATCCTTTTAACACTAAAAATACCGAGCGATCATTGATCATTTCTATTTTTTAGATTAATATTATATTTCTTAAAAGATAAGATTCTCAAATTTTTTTACTTATCAATAATTATATTCTTTCCCACACAGCATTAAATTAAATTAAATTAACATTAATATTAAATATTTATGCGAATCGTCTTCTGAAATATCTCAATAAAATATTTCATGCTGTGTGGCTTACTGATAAAATATTTGGTTTTTCATCACTTTCTTTATGTTTATAGTAGTTGCATTCCATTTTCACACAAGTGATACTGAGTCTAAAGTTACATATTTTATACTCAAATAATGACGTCATTACTTGTTTACTTTGATGATAGTGATATAATAATACAGGTTTATAACCTCATGTTTAATGAATCACAACAAGACTCGCAATTAATAAAGCACATGTTTCTCATGTTTGTGCAGATTTTGGGTAAAAACTCAATTACTTGTCAGAATAAAAAGAAACATGCATTCAACAAAGTTATAACATCACAAATGTCTGAGTTTTGATACAAATGGAAAGCAACCATCAATTTATTTGTTCGGTCCTTTTAGTGAATAAGAAACGTCGGGGCTTCTAGCGTTAACTTTCTCTATAACTTTGATATCACATCATGTTTCTAAATTACATTTATATTTACAGATTTCATGATTCAGTTTAGCAGGCCAAAATGTTGACAAATACCCGATAACGCGTGAAAACGTACAGTCTGACATCAATATATCAATAGCTATATTAATAATTAAAAAATAGCTTGCAATGCGATTCGAAAAAGTCGTCGTTTTAAGAAATTCGGGCTGAAAATAATGTCCGCCGACATTGAAAGTTGCGTTCATTATTTCGTCATAAAAGTCTCTCGACGTTAATGACTTTTTTTATCACCACTTTGTATATCTCATCGATGACGGCGATTGCGCCAAATTGCATCAAACTTCGGTTTTCACACACTTACACACCTTGATATATTAATACTCGTATCGATACGTTAATTTACGATCTATCGTCTGCGCCTTTCGTTAATCTCCTCTTCTATTGCCGAATCTAAACATTACAAAAGTTTGCAACACTTACCGATAATTCGCCAATAACCTATCGTTATTTGTTGAAGGACTTCCCGCGCACGCGCAAAGAAATCGACGCGTCAGCTGACGCAGTTTGTTTACACAAAAAGTACTGTACTGTTTACACTTTTTAATATTTATGCTCCTTCTTTTCTAGTCACAATAGATTTGTTTGCGTCGTTTGGACTTTTTGCACTCAGTACCATCGTTTTCTCTCTTTTCAACGTCCAAATATAAATTTAGCTTGTTTAAAATTTTTTTTGCAAGGGTTTTGCGACGCGGACAAACGACGAAGAGTGCATGAAGTTCAGCTATAAAGAACAAACCTACGTAGTGCAAGAAGTACAGTCAAGTGCAGGAAGCCACAGGAAGCGTAATATGACAACGTAAATTATTTTAGTTTACTATTTTCCAATATTTATTGGAGTTAAAATACCTAACTGTGTTAAAATACCTAAATACCTAACTGTGCTTCGATAAATTATAGAAAGACAAGTGTGTAGAATTTAGATAAATTTTGAACCTAAAAAAAATATGATATCTTCGTAGGTTATATTTTGAATACCAATTTCAATCTGAATAATGCATAATTAATTTTTTTAGATTTGAGAAATACACCATCACACAGATTGTCGTTTAATTATATTCAAAGAGAGTTAATAACATATACAATGAAAAAATTAAATGCTGCTGTTTAACTTGGGATAGTCATCTGGTGAAAGCGCTGAAGAAAAACTTTTCAAAGATTAAACGAGAAGAGTGGAATAATTTGCTGTGATTGAAAAGCAAAACCAAAATATTGTAAGCAAAGTTGTCATAAAATCATGGAAAGACTATCCCATAGGATGGAAATTTAATAAAAGAAATTTTAACTTTCTAACTTTTGTTAAAGATGAGATCGATGCATTTTGTAATATCAAGACATCTAACAAACAACTAAACGGATTGCTGTATGTTCCGTTACACCTACAGATTTTTACAAGACTGGTTTATCAATTTAATTGTAACACGAGTAGTTTAATGCCAGACATAAAAGATGAACTTATTGAGAATGAGCTTTATAGGCTTTATTATACCCGTTCTAACCTTAGGTAAGAAACAATTTATTAGACTTAAAAAAAATTTAATTTATAATATATATATTCTCTCTCTCTCTCTCTCTCTCTCTCTCTCTCTCTCTCTCTCTCTCTCAGAACTCTTATATTTGATTTATTAGAATTAATTAAAATTTTTTGTTTATTTATCTTTCATCATGCATTCTTTATACAAAAGGAATAATTTATTCCTATTAATAACTATTAATTACTCTTTAAAACTATTCTTTTAGAATAAATCTTACTCTTAAAGATTGAAAATTAAACCACTCTTTTTCAAGATTTTTATTCTTTAGAGTGAAATTCTACTCCAAAGAATTTAGAGGCTATATAACAATTATCAAATATTTGAATATATTAATCTCTGCTGCAGATATAAATAGTAATATTTGCTTGAACATTTTTATCAACTTTAAATTATTTTTGGGATTAATACCAAGTATATTATCTATAACTTTTAGTTAGTGTCATAAGCAGTGAAGAGGTTGCAGAAGAACTTGCAGCACAAACAGTATCTGAGGATGCCTTCAATCAAGAAGAAAATAATGAGATTCATATAGAAGAAAAGAATGAGTCTGTGGAAATAAACGCTGATGTCACAGTAAACGTCACCGATACTGTCTCGACTAATACTACCAAAGTTAATTGCTCATCAGAGAAGATCTACGGCCCTGTTGAGGTTCTATAAATTTTCTAAATAAAATAGCATAATATATGGAACAAACGAAATCATAATCAGCCAATGAACTATCTTTCTTATACATCTTTTTGTTACAGATTGTCAATGCAACAAGACTCATGGAGCTATTAATCTTGGAGCCTGGTCCATCAAATCGCTCTAGAAATGACAAAGATGGTAAACAATTACCAGGGACATGCGTTCTCGTGTTATTTTATGCCAGGTGGTGTGTATTCAGCAGTCAAGCTGCACCACATTTTAACGCGATACCTCGTTCATTTCCTCATATTAAAGCCGTGGCGATTGATGCTATAAAACATCAAAGGTGAGCGTATAAAACTAGGAAACAACAAAAAAAGTAAATTTTCGCAATCAGCAAAATGTTATTTTGCTTGCAAATTATTAGCAAATTCAATAAAAAAAATTCAGCGAACTACCATCAACTACATTAATCTTGTATTTTGCCGACATAATGTGAGAGCAAATTGTCCTCAAAAACTAAGCAAATATTGGTTCTTACCAATTTGTTGTCAATTTGTTGTCAGATTGTCGGAAAAAAACTTTGTATGATTTGTGTCGACAATTTATTCACAGCAGATTTTGTTATATATTTTCTATCAATTTGCTAACAATCGTCAAATATAACAAAATTCACTCAAATAAAATTAGATACCTTTTTATTGACAAAATTTCAAACAAGCATTTGACAAAATTCGTTTTTTATGAACTTGACTGACTAGATTTGATTTTCAAAATTAGTAAGTGCGAAAAGAAAAATGATTAAATTCTCTGTTTCTTTTTGTGGTGTTCGAAATTGATAGTGCAATTTAAAAAAATATATCACTTTCAGTTTCAATGCCCAGTATGGGATAGTCGGGGTGCCAACATTGATGCTGGTCCATAACGGCAAGCCTGTCGCCAAATTCAACGACACGATTTACACTTTGGAGTCGTTTGCCAAGTTCGTATCCCATCTAACAAATTTGCAGCCGAATGGCTCATTATATGTTACGTCGGCGGATTTTACGGGGCCGGTTTCGAGCACGCCTTCCAACGAGATGGACTACTGCCTGGTGTTATCGTGGATCTTTATAGTTGCTTGCGTGCTGTACTTCACATCGCGCAGTAGGTGGTGGCAACGATTTGTTGAACTCATTGAGAACACCTGGCTCGAAAGTAATGCGGAGCATGAACACGTCGATTGACTGAGGAGACTTTTGGCCTCTTGAAGTCCCCTCTCCTAAAAGGTTATATGTCTGCATGGTTACTGAGCCATCTTTTGGAGGCTGAAATCCTTGGGCTACAGAAGAAGAAAAAGAAGATGTCGATTAGAAAAAGCATATTAAATCGTACGGTTAATCACAGAATTATTTATTTATCGAGGTTTTGTAAACATGTAAATAGAAGGGGAAAAATAAATAAGTATATAAATACTAGTATAGTTAAAGTAATTTATATATAAAGTAATTAAATTTCATTATTTACAGATAAATTTTAATTTAGTTACTACTAAACAGTTTTTTTATTGTAAGTTACAATAATTACCCGAAATCAAAAAGTACTCATGAGTGAGAGTAAAGTAATCTCTCACATTTAATTGTTTAATTATCAAAATAAAAGTGTAAAGGGGCTATGACATCTTTCGAGCATCAAATATCTGCCAGAAGATTCTTTTCTTTTAAAACTGCGGATTACTTGATTCTATTATTATTGAAAAATATCTGTATAGATTCTAAAATTGCGTGTAAGATCTTATCTTATTTAAGACAAATTTGACAAGAATACCTATTAAATTCTGTGTTTGTTATGTGAAAGTTAATACTTTATTGATATTAATCCACTGTGCATATGCAAAAAAAATATCGGAAACACATGCAGAGCAGACACGTACAGACGTGCAGAAGCCTTTGGATTGGCGACTCTTTGTATATACTAGTATATACTCCAGCTAATTCTCATTCAACTTGCAACTTTTGCTAACGTGAGTTATTCATTTTTATTACTTTTGCATTCTTGTTCGTAAGTGTCCGCACGAGTTTGTGACGCTAATTAATTCATTGTCGCTCTGATTTTTATTTTGCCAGGGTAAACAATTAGCCCATAATATAATGTTGCATTCCATTTTCATATTGAAATAAAATAAAATATGAGAACAGTATAATTCGCATTTACTTTATAATAATTATGTATATATCTATCGCGTTATGAATATACATATAATTTACGCATCCCAACATTCACGAATGCTTAGGCATTTTACTTTTATCGCGTTTTATAAAAAATGTTGAAAATTTTGTCTCGTTTCAACTCAATTTACTTAAAATCCTGATAAAAAATCGATTTTTTAAATATGAAATAAATATTATAATATTATAATGTATATTTTAATAAATAAATATTTAAGTTTTAAGAAATTAAAAATTAATATTTAAATATTAGATTAAAATTTTTTTTCTCATTTTAATATTTATTTTATGTGTCTAATATTTTTTCTATTATGCGCAGAGAGAGCTTTAGCCGGCTGTCAACATCCAGAGGGCGTGACAGACCGACGTTGTAACTAATGGTCGCTCCAAAAATTTCTGCTCCACGATTGTTGTGCGCGGCATTTGTTTGCGCTGAAGTTCGTCTCTAATGGATTTGTTATCGCGGTGACTAGCTTGTGGACCGCTGCGAGGGGGAAGGAGAGGACGGCCTGGTTCGACGCGTGCACAATTTCGCCGGATATTCGGCAAACGAAATGATATTGCCGCAGATACTAAGCAGTTTCTGCAAACACCTCTTATCGACGTCCCGCGTTAGGTTAAATCACCTGACCGGATTGTAGATTTTATTCCACGGGACATCGAAGCTGCGTCCGATCGTCCAAATCTGGTGAAGCACCACGGCTTAATTATGGGCACGCTGAACCTTATCTGCCCCATGTGTTGCGGAGAGACCTTCAATAATACTCAGTCTCTTAAATACCACTTGCTAAGCATGACGGACAATCTTTATTGTCCGGGCTGTTCGCAGCGTTCCGACTCCGTGACGGCGCTCATTCAGCACCTGGACATGTGCGAGCACGATTTGAGGTACAGGATGAAGCCTGAGATTCTTACGGACAAGCTCAGAAAAGGCGGAAAGGAGCCTGAAATCAAAATGGATCTGCTATTGGTACGGAAAATGGAGAACGTGAAATTTTGTTACGATAAGACTGTCAAAAAAAATTCAAGTTTCTCAAATACATTTGTCTCATTTTATTTTAAATATTGCTTAGATGGAATTTATAAAAATCTGAATGAAACAATTGTGAAATAAATCTTGAATAAAATTCTTGAGTCTTGAAATAACATATTTCATGTTATTTTAAATATTACTTAAGATGGAGTTCATGAAAAACATAATTGTGAAGCAAATCTTGAATGGAATTCTTGTGGTTTTAAAATAATATATTTATTTTATATTATATATATATATATATTTAAAATATTTAAAAATATAATAGTCTACATCTAACAATTGTTTCAATTATTTGGTTATTATTGCTCTTTCCACCAAGGATACTTAACTGCAATTGTTAATTTCAGGACGTCAAAGGACAACAGCTCAATCGAGGCTTCCTGGCGACCATGGGCAACAACGGAGTAGTCATAATGAGTGATCCGCAAACGATACAAATGGACGAGAATGGTTTGTAAAATTGCTGTTTTGTTGCATAGGAGTTTTGTGCGTTTAATCTATCGTTTCTAATGAAAAACATCAGGAGAGATTAAAGTCGTAGAAAAGATGGACACGGAAGAAACGCAACCAGATCAAAATTCTCTGGATTTCAAGATGTCCGAAGGACTCATCGCCGACGTTGGCGGAGCGCAAAGAAGACTACAGTCGTCGCAAGGATTGATGGCTATCCCCATATCGAATCCGGACCGCAAGGCGTTGATGGAGAAGAACATAATCGTGTTACCAGATAACCCCGAGCTCCTGGATGGGACCGAGACCGCTACCCTGATCGATGTGGATCGTATAAATGAGGCAACGGAGATCGACGAGGTTGATCTTCTACGTGTCAAGCGAGAGCTCTGCGAGGTATATCGTAAACCGGATTATACTTTGGAGGATTATATTTATACCTTAATGTATATAAGCTAAATGTTCTAATGACTGAACTAATGAGAAGGTATGTGATCAATTCTATATTATTGATTAATACTTAATGGCATTACAAAAGGCATATAGTATACATGAAATATTGTTTTGTCGGTGATTGAAAAATACTAACATATAAGTCTGAAAAAGGATGCTTAAGTAATTGGAAAATTGGGTCTCAATGAAATGAATTAGTTTTCAAATATACATAGGTCGTCTGAAAAGTTTTGAGCCTCAACATGAAGATGGCATTACTCGTCAAAACAATTTTGGTATTATAATCGTACATACTTCGAAAGATACCTGCGAAAATTGTAGCTACTTCCGGCGCTTAGTTATTGTTTGACAGTCATTTGTGCCAGTCAATGTCAATGGTCTTGTAAAAATGGAAAAAATCGAATATCAGCAGTTGCCATGATAAAAATTCACGAATTGCAGTTCGAATTAATTGACCATCCACCGTATTCATCAGATCTGGCCCCCAGCGACTTTTTTCTGTTTCCTAGGCTCAAAGTTTGGCTCGGAGGACAGAAATTTTCATCGAACGAGGTGGTCACCGCATCCGTAGATGCCTATTTTGCGAAACAAGACGCTCAGTATTATTTGAATGGATTAAAGGGGTAGGAGCATCGCTGGAAAAATGTATCGACTTAAAAGGAGACTATGTGGAAAAATAAAATTGAATTTGACCGAAAAATTACTTGTTTCTATGTTAGGCTCAAAACTTTTCAGACGACCCTCATAATGTGATGAACAAAAAATGGTCTAGACACAAGGCTCAATAATTGATAGTTTCTGAGCTGTGATGTATCAAAGGTGCTTTGTAAGCATTTCGAATAAACAATTTTTATTACAATTTGCAATTAAATTATGTTTTATTACTTATTTTTATATAAAATATACCATTTTTTTGTTGTTATTGATAAATGTCTTAATAATTTTAAGCAGATATATTGTTAATTTTTCAATCACTCAATACAGTCAGTTATTGGGACTTTTACATTATTTAGGCCTGATTTCACAATATATAGTTACGTAAAGATTAAAGGTAATCAAGAAATTTATGAATGAATTTCATTGATGAATCTGTTAGTAACCTTTGATCTTTAGGTAACCATATATTGTGAAAATGGGCCTTAGTGAACGTTGTCACGAAATCATCTTTTAAATTAATTCTTTACAATAATCTTTTACAGTAATCTAATTTTGTACAATGTCATTTTTCGCTTCTGTCGCAGTTTGAATCTGACGCCGTATACAGTTGCACCAGTTGCGAAATGAGCTTCAACTCCGTCTTGGATCACATCAAGCAATTTCACGATGGCCAGGAGGTTTTGCTGGAGATGGCGGAACAGATGAACGATCTGACGACGACAAGTCCGATATCAGCGGTATCCGAAAACTCGGAGAATGTGGTGAACCCACGGCAGCGGCAAACGATGAACACACTGCGCACGGAAGAATGTGTGGACAGTGAGGGTAGGCTCTACACCAGAAAAGTGGTGCAAATTGAGAGATTCTGGGACCGTACTCCGGTTCAGGTCACGACGCCGCAATCGGTGAAGGCTCCGATGATCGAGAAATTCTTTTCGAACGTGGAGGGTGTCAAGGTGTGATTTAAGGCGCGCTTCTCACCGGAAGAAAAATCTCGCGCGATACGTATTTGTCACATGAGAATTAACGTTTCCCCTAACACACATGTGATATCACAGGTACGAGACAAACGCCTGGCGACCGCATCGGTGCGAATGTACAAGTGCAATCAGTGCCTGCAGCAGTTCTCCAAGTTGGGTAACTTTCGCGTGCACGCCTGTCTCGGTGGCAATAATCGTTGCGAACACTGCGACCAGAGCTTCGCGACCCCCAGGGCCTTGCAACTCCACGCGAAGGTGCACGATGGCGAAACCGATCCAAATCAGAAGACGTTTGTCTGTACTACGTGCGGTACTGAGTTTTGTTCCCACAAAAGCCTACGGCTGCACTCGAGGATGCACGCTCCAGTGAGGGCCAGACACGTCGATGCACCCGAGGGCACTCCTAACGCAACTTTCACTTGCCCCGAATGCGGTAATGAATCTCTTTCTCATCTCGTTCTTCAAATTAAATAATAACTTGATTTTCATATTATAGATTTTTTTAGCTGAGCTTCTTGCACAATTCATTTTTTCTCTCCAATGTGAAAAAAAAAGAAAGAAGGAAAATCCCTGCAAGAAGATCAGCTAAAAAGAACAGTGTGGCAATGTATCGTTAAGTTTTTTATTGAGCCATTATTATGTATATAAATATAGGGCAAGTCAAAAGAATTCAACACTTGGATATCTGCTGTTTTAAACAGCAGAAAAAATTGAAACTACAAAACACGATAAGACACTAATTATTATTATCATTAATACTATAATTTTTTTGTGAGTGGATATATGAAAGCATGAAAGTTATTTAATGATCTCTCAAACTATATAAAAGATTTTATTTCTAATAATATGAGAAGAATTGGGCAACACGATTTTGTATCAGACAATATCAAGCGTTTTTACTGTCGTTTTCTCAATATATTAATAATGCTTTATAGGTAAAACACTCTCCGAATCGTACAAAGACGCGCACATGGCGCTGCATACAGGTGACTCAGTGACGTGCACCGTTTGCAACCGGAAGTTCGATTCCGCAGAAAGTCTAACAATGCACGCGGCGGTGCACGTCGAGCAGATATCCTCGCGGTCACCCACTCCGCAAACTTTGCTTTCATCCATCGTGGAAGCAACGACATCGGCAACAACATCAGCGACGACGTCGACAACGATGGCGTCGACGATCGCCGTGACATCAACTACATCGCTAACGACGGCGACGACGACGGTGACAACGACGGATCCTGGCGACAGTCAAAAACCCTATCAGTGCCAGCATTGCGGTCGCAGGTTCACCAGACCGCATGAGAAAGTCAAGCACGAACGAATTCACACTGGAGAGAAGCCGCATGCTTGTGAGGTAGACAATCGTGAAATCAAGTCTTGTTAAGAATGTCAGGTGTAACCCAGGTGAAAATTTTTCTCAGAATTTTTATACAATTTTTCAGAATTTCTATATAATTTTATAACTCACATTTTTTATACGAATTGGAACACTTCTCAGAAAATTCACATCTTTTCTCAGAATTTTTCATACATGTTAATTATGAAATATCGTAAGATATATATATATTTCTAAGATTTTTTGTAAGTATAATTTTTGATGAAATGTTATAAAATCTAAAAAATTAAAAAATTTTTTTTTAAATTATAGGATGAGAAATTCAGAATATTTCAGTTCACATAAAAAATTCAGAGAGAAGATGTAAACTTTCCGAATATTTCTGAGTATTTCTGAAAAATGATCCAATTCGTATAAAAATTATAAGAAAAATTTTCACCAGGGAATCTCTACAAAAAGTAACTGGAATTGTAGATTTGTACTTTTCATATAAAAATGAATGTTATATTCATATAAAATAGTTTAATAAGATTACAGTAGGTAATTATATTTAACAAAATACAATTTTGTAATTTAAATAAAAATTTTCTCATTTTATTTTGTTTTTAAAAAATTGTTTCTTGGGAAAAATTTTAAGTTTTGTCAATTATAACTATAACTTTTAATCATAATTTTTAGAAAAGGAACCTTCCAAATCTTTTCCCTGAATAGATCCCTGAATAATCATAACCTTTGGTAAACCAAAGTTTCCTATTTAAAAATACTGCAGTCTAAAGTGGATCTTGTCTTTCTCATTTCTTTAGTTACAGTTGCAATTTTTATTCTTGTTTACTGGTAGGTTTGTGGCAAGACCTTTCGCGTGTCCTACTGTCTGACCCTTCACATGCGTACGCATACAGGCGTGAGGCCCTACGCTTGTCAGCATTGCGGAAAGCGCTTCAAGGCATCTTCCGTCTACAATCATCACCTGCTGACCCACGGTGAGGAGCGTGCCTACACATGTCCGTACTGCCCAAAGACGTTCAAGACGCGGGTGCAGCTGGCCGGCCACAAAAACAGCCACACGAAGCCATTCCGGTGCACCGAGTGCTCGCGGCCGTTCGCGTCGCTCTATGCCGTCCGCGCGCACATCCAGACTCATAAAAAAGATAACAATCTCAAGTTCAGCTGCTATGTATGCGGCGCGTCGTACGGCCGTGCGTTCGCCCTCAAGGACCACCTGAAGCAGCACGGCCAGGACGTGCTGGCTCTACCGGAGCCAGCGCGTGAGGAGGAGGTGCACGAGAACTTTCTTCTCGGCGAAGAGGAGATCGAGGAGGAAGAGTTTGCGGCCCCAACGCCGCCACCACCGCCGACTCCGCTTCCCATCGTCGCGCGCCCCTCCGGCGTGGACGACACCGACTGAAGTTAATTATTGCAATTTGATTCTAGTCGTAGAATCGTAGCGCGTTCCGTAAGCTCATCATAAGCTTGCCGTAAGCCTACGTAGACCGTTCGTGGAGACTGGAGGATTCGCAATTTTCATGGACGGTCACCATGTTAAAACCTTCACGCGAAAGTCTCTGTACGTTTATGCGTACACGTTCCACGAGTCGTTGCGTGTGAAGGTAGAGCGAATTTTTTTTACCAAAACCAATCGCGATCGATTGAGATCTAATTGTATGTAAGCGTTGTTGACTCGTTGATAAAGTTTATTCGTTCGTATTTCTCGTGTCGTTCGTCGTTCTCATCACGAATTTGTGAGCTTGATTTGTGAGTCGGGAGATCACTAGGAGCAACTTTAATCCGCAAATATAAATGTTGCATTATCTCGCCCAATTTAATTAAACTGAAAAATGATTACGTAAGAATATTGCCAATTAATTTGGAGTATGGGTGTGTAATTGATTTAAAAAGAAAAGAAGGTATATTAGTTAAATAATTATCGATTGTAATGAATTTTCTGCAGTTTCATTACAGCAATATATTAGCCCGATTCTCGTACTGCTGAATTACGAGCTTTCAAATACATTTTGTAATACAGGATGGCAAAAAAATGACCATAAGGTTTTATATGTTATCCAAGTAATAATTTAATAAACGTATAAAACTTTGCGGTTATTTTCTTTTCGATGTCAAAATAGCATTAAAAGCATCATTTTAACATCAATATAACGACGAATAACTTGGTGTTTAAATAGGAACGTATTTAAAAAACAAACTTTAATGTATGTTATTAAATACAAAAAGATTCTGCATCAAAAGATTTCGGTTGATGAATTGAAGATTACTCTATTGGCTGCCCGGGAGAATTTATTCAAGAAAAGATACGCGGCCATGATCCGTTTCCGAAGCGTTTGTATCAGAAATAAAGAGGCCATCTTAATATTAATTATTATTTTTGATATTTAATAAGATACAACACTCCAGAGTTTGTATTTTTATAAATATACATTAATAATAATTTGAATACAAAACTTTGTGGCCGAACTTTTTTGTCTCCTTGTATAATTAATCAAAAGTTGCACATCCCTGCATTGCATACTTAATGTTCGACTATCAAAGTTACAAAGTAAACGAAGCTCACGAATTATTCATTGATGGAACATATCACAATTAGTTAAATTTGAATAGAGCCTAAGTACGCGTTTTTAATTTATTTGAAATTTCTTGATAGGAAGAAATGAACTTTCGTACGTGACGTATACATATCACAACAAACAAACTTGTTCTAGTTTTAATTTCACGGTTATTTAATTTATTAACAATGTACACAATGCAACGTAATGTAATTACGAATCATTGTGTACAGCCACATAATTAGTTACATTAATATATTAAAGTTACTCAAAAGAGATTTTAAATTCCATGCACACGCAATTGGAATTTTGTTTAGACGAGAATTAATCTAAAATTATTTTAAATTTAATGCAATTGTTTGAATTTTAATGATTTGGGTTTCTTAATGTTACTCTGATTGTTACATGCTGTTGTTGTTTGGAAAATATTTTATAATAAATTAAATTTTTACTTAAAAAATTTGTCAATTGAGTTGTCATTTCTCTTCTTTATCATTAAATTGTCTCTGTATCTAAAAAACAGGAAGTAACTCTAACAAAAAAGAGAATAGAAGATTTTAACATTACTTGCATATTTACGTATATTTTCACATAATATCTCATTTTATATGGACTGTTGTCGATATAAAGTGATTAAATTTTTTTTAGATAAGCTAATCCAGTAGATCCTGTTTTTTTAAAGTTTTATCTAATAATACATATTTTTAAATTAATAAACAATCTTTTTCCTTTCTCTTTTAAGTTTGCATTATCATTTTCGATTTTTTGATTACGTGAATTTTGAATCTTAAAAGCTTGAGAGAACAACGCAAGAGATTGAAACTTAATCTTCTTTTATCTTCATTTTCCCCTTTCTCTTTTTGAATACATTAAAAATTAGAAAATATATAACTATAATTATAAAATAAAAATCATAAGTTATTATAGTTAATCGAGTTAAAGTTTATTATCTGCTTTTAATTTGCCTCTAATTTATAAAATTGTTTTTTGCACTAATATTGTTATATAATTTTAACTCTTTAATGTTACTTCGTTACTTATTAGAAGAATTAGATATTCAGAAAAAAAAAATTAACGAAATAAATGGCAATAATAACCTGAGTGAAATTAAAGCATTTATCAAAATATATGGAATTGATAAGCGAAACGCTATGGAATAAATGAGGAAAAATATTTATTCAGATAAAAACATAAATATACAGTATAATGCTATCATCTTCGATTTTCCTTCTCAGAATAAATTCTACGAATAAAATTACACAAATGTACAAAATTACAGGAAAATCGGAATTAAATGAGAACAATATACTTCGTATTTACCCGCGTGAACTATGCACTTGAGTACACTTTGGTGCACTTTCAAGGTGCGTTCAGGGAGACGGTATTAGCGCTATTGTGTCATTCTATCCTTGTTTTATGTCTAATAAATAACGAAGATAGAATGACAGAGTAGCGCTATTAGCGTCTCCTCGAACGCACCATCAGTAAGGCGTCCGTCACGTGAGTCTCTAATGTGGAGTTAACCGAGTTAACCTGTCATTCTTGCCGGTCTTTTCAATAATTTTATGTAGTACTGTGGTTTTGAGGGTCAAAAATCCACAAAAAAAAAAAGAAAAACAAATAATTTCATGTATTAAGTAGTCCATGCATTTAATAGTCTTCAATGTGCACGAGTATGGTACACTGCTTGATAGAATTCTCTATTTTGTGTGTATAACATAACCTCACAAAATATCTGCAGATAATAATATAATTTTTTACCTGAAATCTGCGAAAGCACAGTTAGTTTTAATAATTAATATTATCATGATACTTACATATATATAAATATCAATCAAAATGCAAATACATTGTGTGGAAACATATTTTCCTATGATTGTTTAAATATAAAATGTGATGATAAGATTTTAAAAACATTTAATTTGAAATATAAAATCCTATACAAATATATATATATATATATTCTAATATAAATCATTAAAATCACGTTTGTTAAAATATAATAATTAGTTCTACTGTGTATTAAGGCTATATTTTGTTTTTATTTATAGTGCCACTGTTGTATATCAATCTGGGAGCAATCAATCATGTCAATAGTGATACATACTTATGAATAATTAATGTTCAAACGACAGTTTGTATAAAAGCATAAATAAAAAATGGTAAATGCCAGTAATTTATTATAATATATATAATATATCTTATTATATATTTTACTAGATACATATTTTTTTACTTCATTAATCAACGCTTTGTTTTTTCTTAGGCACGAAATGCAGAGAAGGCTATGTAAGTATGATTTGTAACACCATTTGTCCCGTAAACTTATTACACATTCACTGGTTTAATGCAACTAATTAAAATATTAAATCAATATTATATAATAAATATTATATATCATATTGATATAATCAATGTATATAATATTGATATTTTTAGGACAACGCTTGCTCGTTGGAGAGCAGCGCAAAACAACGAAGGAACAAGGAAGGAACAGGAACGGAGGCCTTATTTGGCTTCAGAATGTAGAGACTTACGTAAAGCAGAGAAATGGCGAATGCAAATAATTAGAGAGATTGCAAAGAAAGTCGCCCAGATTCAAAATGCCGGGCTCGGAGAGTTCCGCATTCGTGATCTAAATGATGAGATTAATAAGCTGCTTAGAGAGAAGCGACATTGGGAAGCACAAATAAAGGAGCTTGGCGGACCTGATTACTCCAGGGTCGGGCCTCGCATGTTAGATCACGAGGGACGTGAGGTAAAGTCATAGACAATATTTTTTGTAATATTTACAGAATATCAGAAGTTTGATTAAATGTTTATCAAGGAAGTTTCATTAAGTGTTTACTGAAATCTTGTAAAAAAACTTCCTGAGAATTTCCGGATTTTTTCAAGGTATTTTCGTTCAAAATTCCACGTAAGATTAGAGAATTTTTAAGGAGTCAGACTGGTGTAAAATTTTTTTGTTTTAAAAAATAGTTTGAAGCCTGTAGAATAAGAAACAAAAGGTCGTAAGTATAAATTCGAGTTAGTTTCCGAGTTATAAAGCCTACAGCGCATACACCCATATAGCTCTTACCCACTGAAAACCTGAATAATTTGCAACCTTTTTCGGATCTGCTGCTACAATTTATTGCAACGCAGCAAGACATCTTGAAATTGCAATTTACATTTACTTTGTCACCACTAATCGTACTATTGCCTATCAATCGAGTGGAACCAAAATGGCGGATGAGAATACTTACATCTCTAATGCCTTATTATTATGAAGCTGGCATGGCAGATCAGCGGTATAAACAAAAAAGTTTGCACTATATAATATAAAGACTATGTTGTAAAACTTTAAGCGTTTTTCTCGAAACATTGTTTTTCAAAATGGTGCCGAAAGTTTCTCAGAATGTACTCATTGGATTGACTTGAATTTTGGTTTGTTATCCTTATAGTATTCTCTAAGCATCGACCGAGAATTTTTACGATATTATTTTGCAAAATATTCATAAATTAATTAACAATATTTGTACCAAAAATCAAACCAAAGTTAAAAAAAAAATTTTTTTTTCAGTCAAATTTCAACAAATTTTGAATAAGTTCGGTCAATGCTTAGGGAATACAATATACTTAATTAAGTAATATTATTTCTTTTTTCCAGACGATCCAATATGGCGGAATCATCGACGCGAAAAAATTGACTTTTTATAACACATTTTAATAAATAATATTAAGATTATTTTTCCTTTCATTTTGCATATTTTATACCCTCAACGTGTACTTGAATAAAGTACCAAACCACAAGTCTGTAATTTTTATTTCTTCGGTAATCTACGCTTAAAAATTACGTACTTTTTCGGCCGGTCTGACCCCTTAAATGCAACTTCGAAATAAATTAAAGTTCAAGATTTTCCAAGCAGTAAACACCCAGAGATTTATTAAATGTTTATGTATCTCGATGAAATTACAGGTTCCCGGTAATCGAGGTTACAAGTATTTCGGAGCTGCTAAAGAACTACCGGGTGTTAGAGAATTATTTGAGCAGGAGCCACCGCCGCCACCTCGTAAAACTCGCGCAGAATTGATGAAGGACATCGACGCGGACTATTACGGCTATATGGACGACGACGATGGTATTCTGATACCGTTGGAACAGAAGGCCGAGCAAGAAGCGAGAGAAAAGTGTATTAACGAATGGGTAACTCACGAGAAGGAACCGGAAGTTGAGATTGAGACTACGGCACAAAAATTGATTCCTTCGCAGCAGGATATTCAGGAGGCTTTGCTGGTTAGAAAGAAGAAAGAGCTGCTGGAAAAGTACGGGCTAGACTGAAGTCCAGGTGCGACATTGTGTTTGAAATTGTACAGATTGGAATATCGATTGCGATATTAACTATTGATAAATTTATTATTAGTTTAATTATATATTAGAATACATTTTTATAAAACGCGATGAATATAATTATTATTAATTTATAAGCATGTAATAACATTGATTAAGATAATTAGTTTGTGCAGTAGACATTCAAACTCGAATGCTTATCAAGAGAAACGGGTGCCGTAGATGAAAATATAGATAAAAATCCAAGGATAGAGTCTGTTTATAATCATCGCGATATATGACACTTCTCCCATTATTTCGTCGTTTTTCGCAACGGAGAATAGGCGAAATGCTTATTCCACAATAAAATAGAATAACAGAGTAGATACGGTACACGTTATTTTGTAAGAAAATCTAGATATCGCATGTTCTCGTTTTCGCAAATGTATCGTTGGAATGTTGCAAAGTATATCGTGTGTTCTTCAATTTGACCTTGGCTCTTATCCTCTCGATACGGCAAGCATCTACTAACGAATAACTTCTATCTAATCAACATGATCGTAAAACTCTAAAATAGATTTAAAAACAGGAAAAATAGTTTACTTCATATGCTCTGGAAACGATTAAGAACCTGAAGGGCTTAATCGTTCCCAGAACAATTCCGCTTCGGTTGCAAATATTACAAATAATGGTAACTGATATAAAGTTTAACGACATATCCAACGAGTTCACAGCCCACTTTTGTAACGAACCATAACTTCCATAATCATTAATCTCCGAGTGTTAAATATAAGAAACACAATAGTCTTGCTTAAAAAAAAAAAGATGTATTTTTCATTGAATGTGAAAATTCATCGGCGTTCTCAAAGAGGATCCTGATGATCCCAGTATAGTGAAAATGTAAAATGGAACTAGTCTGGTCGCTTCCTACATATCCAACAGCTTATCACGCAAAGTGAAAAACGTGGCAAGATTAACGTTATCGTAATTACATTACACCGTTATTTACTTGAAAGAGTAAAAGACCTAAAAGTTAAAAAACTACTCGCTAATTAAACTTATGTCACTCGGGTGCTGACTGGAATTCTTGGAATTCCCTAATTCCAGTTCGTGTTATAGAAAACGAATGATATTAATCTTCAAATCGAGAGATTGATATAACATCGCTACGTCGTAAATTGATTTTAAATATTTAAAAGCTTTGTCACCTCTCTTTAACATCGTGCCGTTTATAAACAGACTGTACATTATATCGCTAGGACTCAGAAGTACTCTCTAACAATATCAGCTAACGATGCACGAAACAAATCGTGTTACGCGTGTACTTATATATATAATATATGATATTCACATGTCACTCACACACACATTTAACGCTAAATGGGGTGGCGTTTTTAATCCATTCTACACTTATATAGCTGTAGTATACTTTAAACATCTGATTGAGGAGATTTTCCCATTTAGCCCGTTTCCTTTATGCTATAGAAAATACGTGGAAAATCTTTTAAGGAAAGTAATAATACTGCCAAAAATATTAATGATCATTTATACAGGATAAAAAAAGGGTTCAAAACTTTAGGAATATTTGGTAAAAAAAATTCTCATATACTTTTAAGAATGTCATATTGACTCTGCTCGATTTCGGCTGGCAATTCGCTATCGATCTCTACTGACTGAACACAAGCTTAATGTGGACACAATAAACGCTAATATTCTGCCTAAGTCAATGGCTGATTTAGACGGAGGCCCACGAGGCCCGAGTCTAGGGGCGAAATCCTTCTAAAGGCATAGGAGAAATCCTTCTAGAGACCAAAATTAAAAGGGCTTTGCTTTTTCCACAACAAGTTCTGAACTGGTGTACACTGATGCAATAAGTTAGAGCGAGATAGGTATAGTTTGTTTCGCTCTAACATATTGCACTACTTCAGAACTAGTACAGAATTCGTCGAAAAAGAACAAACGGAAAGTTAATTTTATATTTGTACAGGATTATCAGTTGTGACGCATTTTTGCCAATATGGCACCTCGAAGTAGCTTTGGCGCCAAAAATAAAATCTTGATATTTTGGTAAAAAAGTGATACCTTTTGATACCTTTTTTTTTATTGTTTATTTGTCTGAAAGGGGCGCCAAGAAGTACAGGGCCTAGGGTGAAAAAATGTGTAAATCCGCCACTGGCCTAAGTCGGAAATTATTGTTAACGTTTTACACTTTCTGAATTAATAATACTTGATGTGACTATTTTATACATAGAATAACAAGAAAAGAATCAATTTATGTAAAAAGTGATGTACTTTCTACATAAAATACAAGTGAGTCATCTGTATTGTCAAAACGAGAAATCGTGTCTATCTGTGACATATAAAGTTAATTTTTTGAACTATGATAATCATTTTTTATTTTTCTAGTGAACATCCTTCAAGTTTGGGACTCTTTCTTCAAATATCCTGTATAAATGATTTATGATGATATTGTATAACAAGATGCAAATACCATTCATCTCGGTTATCTTTTTACATACCTTACAGTTTTGATGTTCAGAATTAAATGTACCTGCAAACAGGCAATTAAACTTTAATAAAAATATCTCATATCCTTCATTTTTTTAACTGCTCCACAACATATTCACGGCCATCAAAGTCGGAGGTGGAGATATTTGCATGCTTTGTGAAAAAACTAGTTTAATCACTGGATCTATAAATAAAAAATAATTTTGTTAGAATCTCAGACACTGCATGCTTAAGATGTTCTAAATTCTCATATTGTAAATTCTCGTTTGCAATATTAGTTCGTCTTCGCAATGCACATCTAGCGCACATATTGTACGTAAAAAGAGAGCTTACGTTGTACGATAAAAACAATTGTTCGTGTTCTAAAGGAGATTTCTGAGTCCCTGCAATTATTTTATTTCTAAAATGTAAATGATAAAATAGTTCGAGCATGGATTAATATGTAATCATGATGAAGATTTACTACTAGAGGCTTGAAAAAGTCAAGCGTTAAATAATTCACAGCATCTGTTTGTCCATTAATCAGTCGCTGGCTTTGTCCGCTGATCTAGGGGTCCCCTAACGATCCTTTGGTCTAAGGCTACTTTCCACGTTATTACTATGCGCCTGTATATTTTAATGATAATATCAAACTGCTAATCACGCTTCTCAGATATTAGGAAAACTTTACAGTTTTCAATGTAAAGCATAAAGAATTAATCAAAACAAGAGTAGAGTGCATATGAAGTTAAAATATCTTAATATATATAAACGAAACTTTATATTTGTGTATTAACTCTATAATTTAAATAATTTTATTAATGTATAAAAATGCTCAAAAATTATATTCGCCTTAAAACGATTTAAAATAAATATTCTTTTATGAATAAAGTTCCATAAATGTAACTAGATTTGTTTTTCATTTAATTTCAATATTTATATGAAAATATATCTTTAATATAATATTAATTATAAGATAATAGTATTAAAAGTTACGAAAATAAAAAAGACAAAGCTCAAACATTTGTTAAAAGAAGTGCATATATATTTAATTAATCGGAAAATCTGTTTAAAAAAAAGAAAGAAATTTGTAGTTTTTTAATATTTTTGTACATTTTTATATTAAATCAGTTTCTCTCTCATAATCTAATTATGGGCATAAATTTATCGCGTCTTTAATCGTATCCTCTACTTCTGCGTTCCTCTAATATAGCTATTGACGATGGAACCCCTTGCTCAAAAATTCTAATATTAACGCATAGATTATGCCATTGTTCCTAGCATACTCGTGATCGTGTATGTTTCTATTTCAATTATAGTATATCGACTCTACAATCACATTTGCATTTACGAAGTGCGTTTTGCGAGTCATTGTGCGTCATTGAATTGTCAAACTGTTGGTCTCGTGTCCCATCTTGATCCGAGAAATCTCTCTATACACCGCTACCGCCATCACATTGCGGTGACAATTGTCGGCTCTTGCATGTATCAATCCATTCTCGAACCATCTCAAGACACCAATGCCCGTGTCCTAAATCTTATCTTACTATTACGTTTGCTGCTAATCCATCCAAATTCTTTCTTTTTCAGGCATACCTGAAGGGAACGTGAGATACCAGTTGTAAGTGAAAAGCTAGAAAACCAGACTAAGTGAGTTATCATAGTCGTCATAAAAAAACTATTGCATATAAATAAGTGCGTAGATGTACATATTATCTATAAGCGCCTCAACGAGTACAACGTGTGGTGTAAATTTTGTTCAATAATGTCAGTAATATTAATTTATTAACAATTCAATAGTAATAAATTTTTTTTTCACTATTTTTGTGATCAACCTTGGTGTCAGATCCTAATTTTAAGCTTAAGTTATCGGCTAAGCAGTAAACTAAGTTCATCACTGATATTTTTCGTTCGTTTTAAAGTTCATTATTACTAGGCATCTACGTTTCATTCATGCATGCCCAAGTTACAATAACACAGTTCAACAAAAACTAATTTTGTCAAGTTCAAAGGTAATTATTCCCATAGTTTTTTCTTTCAAATTACATTTTTTATTTTCGTAATATCTTGTCACGTCAATTTTGAGATATGTGAGCTGTGAAATATAACACAAAATTGTAAAAAAAAAAGTATTTCAATAAATTTTGTTATGCCATTAGTTTAGCATGTAACTTGTTCGAAATGGTTATATCCGTTCAATTATTGTTAGAACTTTCAGTCTTTAATCTATATTTTTCTAGAATTTTATATATGTGAATTCTGAAATAATATAAGATGTCTCATTCTATAATTTCCGAAGAAAACTGATAAATTCTGAAGAAGTTTAAAAGGTATTTTTTCAAAAATCTTTATAAATTTAAAATATAGAAAATTCTTAAAAACGTTATGAGATATGAGAATTTTTTTTCATCAGAATACTTCCATCAAATGTTGGAATATCTATTAACTGTTACAGGAAAATTATTAATTAGCAAAATCTGCCTTAATTTTGAACAAGAAAAAAATTTTTTAGCTTGCTATTCAGTAATTGTAACATGGAAAATTATACTAAAAAATTCTCTTTTATTAAATCGATCTCAAGTTTCTTAACTTTGACATGACAAAAATACAAGGAATAATTTCCTTTTCTGAGAGTATTT